CGGGACGGTTAAAAATCCCAGAGGCTTTGCGGAGAAGAGAAGCAAGCTCTRCTTTCTGCCCCCGCTTTTCACACACACGCCCTTCCTCGTCTGCAGCCGCATCAAACGCTCCGGAGGGGCCGAAGCACAGCCCGTGCCAACCCCGCGGGGCCGGGAGCTGTGAGGCTCCCGTGCCCCGGGCTCGCCCGTCCCGGCCGCCCCGAGCGCTGCTCCGGCCCCGCCGCCCACCGAGTGTCACTGTCGAGCAGCGCTGAGCCCGCGCCCGAGCTCCCCATSGCCGGGGCACCGGCACGCTCCGGGCCCTGCTCCGAAACTGTGACCTCCTGCTGAAAGCTGATGCCAGACTGAGGCTTTAAAGTGGAAAGAATAAATCTTTTTACTGTTGCACGTGTCGTTAAACAAACTCCTGTCYCCAAACGCACCTGCCGCTTAGTGGGGCAACTTGCCTCGGCAAGACCTTGCTCTTTGTGTATTCCCCACAACTTTCTTTAACAGCGTCTGAGGAAGGTAGACAGATGTCCCACTCATAAGTAAGATGACACTATTAAAATATTTGTATTTGGTCTAAATGCACAGAAAGCAGGCTGCCAGTAGGCGAACATTTCTAACTGGGAATTCACTCTTTCATCATCCAGACCTTACCTATTTTTTAAAGTCCAATTGAGAATAGTGGAAATTTAGGATTGAAACCAGCCACATGTTTTCCCTGAGTCTGTGCACTGCTAAGGCAATTCTCTGGTAAAGGAGGATGGCTCTGGGACCTGTAATCCCAGAGCTCAGTCACCTTGGCAGTGTTTGTTAGGGCAGAACAGGCGTTCCTCCCTTCAGCGTTAGGGCTGGTGCAGAATAAACCTCCTTGGTCTCTCCCACAGCCACCAGGCTTGCCAACAACAGGACACAAACCAGAAAATCAATAGCCTCATTTGCTGTAGCTACTATTTTAGAACCTTGCAAAATGTAGACCACCTGGTGGCTTTTATATAATGGATTTTAATAACTTAATAAAGATGAAACAACATATGCAGGGTTTATGGCAAATAATAAAGATTATTTTCCTCTTTTGTTTTACATTGATATGTTATTTTTATGTACATCCAGAGTTTAAAAGACTGATGTTAGCAACAACAGCTTTGTATCCAGTAAGACAAGTGTCCCTCAGAAATATGGCAAATTCTATTCATTAATTTCTATGAAAATGTACAAAATTTAACCCCGTGAGAGCCACCAGAAAAATAAGTATTAATGATAGCATGGTTTTAGAATAGAAGTGGAGAGAGGATCTTTTGGTTAGAGCTAAGCTTATAGGCAAGATTCAGGTTCGGATGTGACAAATTCCAGGTGTCTAGTTCCATCTACAGTAGAAAACAAGCAATTTGTTTGACTTGGAAAGACACCATATGGATGGACAGGATCTGGTCACTTGAATTTGCTTTCTTASCTTTCTTTGAGAAATTTGCAGATGTTAGATTTGGGGTTCTCTTTTTCTGCCTGTTCAGTTGATTTTTTTTCCCCTAGCTGCTGCAAGATTGGACATAATTTCAGGCAAATATACCAATTATCAGGTTATTTCTGTGCTTGTACAGTATTTGTCTGGGTTTTAGTAACTGTATTTGAATARCTGGCTTGGCTTTCTGTTGCTCCCCATATATAGCCTCAAGTCTATTGTTGCACATATACCTTCMTTTTTCATTTAAAATTGAGTATAGACACGACCTGAAGATCCAGTTTTGTGAGATGCTCGGAACCATGTTGATGTGATCACTTTCCTGCAGACCACACAACWGAGAGCAGATGGTGGCCTGAATGATAAAACCTTCTTGGCTCTTTTTCTGGTCAAAGACTGAAGAATGAGATAGAGGTTTGGCAGCTGCTTCATTTTCCTTGGGGTTCAGGTACATACATATTCCCCTATGGCATTTTAAATTATCTTACAGGATATATTGTGATGAAAGAGYCTGTGGTCAAGCCTGTGATATGTATATCAGCCATGATTGATTTAGATACAGTGTCTTTATTTTGCTGTGCTGATTAGCTCCATCAAGTCTGTAAGGCCCCAGCTGTAACAAAAACCTTAGTCAATCGATTTAGGAGAAGCAAAGTGGTAAAATCTATAAGCATATTTTTCCATCTCTCTGCTAGGGCAGTTTTCTGACAATGTATTCATGGGTGTTTGATTCAGTCTGACTTCAGTGGCTGCAGCAGAGGGTAATCCACGACTCAGGTTCCCTTGACCAACTATGGAGATTTCTCACAAGCTGATTCTCTTAAAATTCAAAACATCAGGACCAATTTAAAAACCAGCTGCTAGTTCAGTATAGACAAGACCCTGGAGACCATGTGTTTTGTTATTGCTCTACTCTGAGGAGGTGTCTGCTTTTGTAGTTACTAGAAATGTTGTGAATTCTAAAGCACAATGTAATAGCTCCCCTTTTCTTTCAGACARGTTAGATGGGGATTGAAATATTTCAGCTAACTTTCCAAGTAAAATACTTGTAAGCACAATGATGCTGAAAGGGGAATCAAATGTTGATACAGTTGAAGTATGTTGAGTTTTAAACATTAGGGAAAAAATTGAATGATAATTTGGATGTTACCTTATATACACAATGTGTTCAATTTGTTTCCAATGGAAACAAAACTCCTTGAACAGAAACTGGATTGTGAAATAAAACTTGTTTCCCTGCAAGTGTCCCAGCCAGCTTGTGGGGGCATTCCAAGACAGTTGGCAAGATGAGATGCTTCAGGAGAGATGCAGAATTCAATATACAGTTTCCATGAGGGAAAGCAGAATGGCAGCAGCTCAGGGAGTGAATGTACAGGCCATATAAGGCAAGTAAATGAACTGCTGTAGAGATGCCATTAGCAAAGCAAACACTGACTTGGGGACCTTGGCATATACCATGGAAGAGATAAATTGCATGAATAAATGCATGCTTGTGTGCTTCTCCCTAGGCTTCCAAAGCCAGTTTTAACTGAGAAAGAATTTCCATGTGTGAAACAGAAATTTTTCCACAGTCATTTTAATGCCAGACAATTTCTACCCATGYCTGATCCCAACACATGCCTAATTTAGACATATTTATCACAGTTTCATTATAACCCAGGCCTTTGGCTAAGGAAAGAATGACAGACCTCAGTCTTTAAACAATTGTGAGTTTAATAACAGTACTCAATTATTTTCTTTCTTTACAYTGAGAGCCTAGCTCAAATGACACAATATTAGCTTAATATCCCTGTCATTTCAGACATTGGYAAAATGAATAGCAGGAGGTAGAACACCACACTGAGCCAAGTGAAGGCATGCGAGCAGTAAACAAGGAGTGTCTGCACTCACCAAAAAGTGCACAGCTCCTTGCAGAAGTGGAGACCTGAGAGCTGGTGCATGCTGGGGGTGGAGGCTGAACATGAGGCGGAAAGGTGATTTGAGGGGAGAATGCTGGAATGGTATGCTGTGGAGCAGGCTCCAGCTCTCAGCTTTGGGAAAGTCATACCAGCTCCCTTTCTGTCAGACACCCCGTGGGCACATCCACTTTCATGTTTTGGTGTGGATCAAGGGCCTGCTTTTGAAGTGAGTCTCCAGATCATCCTCACTTACATGTTTTGTTTTACCCAACAGAGGTGAGTACACAGAGTGGATTCAGATAGCAATATAGCAGAAGACAGTTGCCAGGAGTGTATCAGATATGTTCTGAGTTCTCATGGGGCCCTCAATCCACAGACCCAGGCTGGACTGAATCTGAAGAAAAAGCTATTGAAAAGTGTGAACATAATGTAGGCCATCAACACCATGAGATCCAACACGAGACTGATCCACATTACTTGCTAATATAGATGTATACCAGGTGGATGTAGCCTAGAGACAATCAGCTGTGGGTATGGCTGCTTTGAGGTTATGCCTTCATTGTCTTCCTTGTGAAGCAMTATATATGCATGTATTCTTGCATTCAGCCTATATTTAACCCTCTTCTTTGAKTTTTTGGAACACATTTCCTTAAATACACTTGCAATGTTAGGGTGGAAAACTTGTTCATGTTACTTTCCAATCCATTTCCTATCCCTTGAGAAAATCAGTAATGTTCTGATTTTAAGACTTTGCATTATGGGAGAAAAAATGKAAGTCTAATTTTAAAAATACAATAAAGCAGCTTTGTAATTTAATTCTGAAAATAGCTGCTGTGACTATTAAATGGTGTAAATGCAGACTGAGTGCAATAAACCTCACTTCCATTTAGCATTAATAATATTAATGAATGGTATTTAAATCACATGCCATRTTCCAGGACTGTAAAAGAAACATTACCAAAGAGATTTTGCATGTCTGGTGCTGACATAATTCAAACCTGTCATAAAATTGTCTTATATCTTGAGAAATATATYCATGTTTCTGGGCGTAGAGGGAAAACCAGAATTGGAAATTACTTTTTTCTCCCAGAGGCTCTGTGTGCAGAAGGCCACCCTCCTCAAAACTTTCCCAGTTAAGACACTCTGGGAAAAGGCTGAAACTCCTGTCTYTCTGCTTGACCTAACCCATCCGGGATGAGCTGCTTGGTTCTGTGGTCACATTTACTCTTTCTGCAGGGCAACTCGGGAACTGTTGCGATCAAAGTGCTGGATCAGCAGCTCGCATGCAGAGACAGACACAGTTCTTATCACACGTACACCATCAGGAGATTAGTCCATATTTTCCCATGTAAGGACTGCAGCCTTCCTTCGTGGCCGGCATTTTCCTTCTCTCCTCTCCTGCCCTTTCCTCCTCTCCGTCCCCGGCTTCACCGCCCCGCGCGCCCCGCACTGAACGCCCAAGCCGGCGATGCCGCAGCGCTCCCCGCCACCCCCGCACCAACCCAGCCCCGCACCAGCCCGGTCCCGGGACCCGTGATCTCGCTATCCCAGTCCCGGGTGGGCTCGGGAAGCCGGGACCCACCCCCGCTCCGACCCCGCGGGGCCGGGACCACCGCCCCTCCCCGTGAGGACTCGGCGACTCGCCCCCGTTCTTTCGTTCGCCGCTCCCCCGCCTCCGCCCGACCCCTCGCCCCCGGCCCCGTCCGCGGCCCCGCAACTGCGCCGACCGCGGCCAGTCCCGCCCGAGGAGGCGGCGGCGGGGAAGGGGGAGGAGGGRCGGCGGAGTGCGCTGCCTCCCGAGGAATCAAACGGGCGGAGAGAGGAACGTACGGAGAAAGGAGGGAAGGACGGGCCAGGCTGGGGAGGGTCCCGGTCCCGGTCCCGCCCGCCTCGGAGCTCCCGTGTCGCCTCCGCGCCGGGACCGCGGGTAGAGTCGCTTGGGGCTGCCGCCGCCCGCCGGCCCCGCGCCCATGTGCTCCCGGCAGCCGCGGCGGGGAGCTTCCACGCCCGGCGTGTCCGTAAGTAGCCCTTCGSTCCCCGGCACCGCGCCTGCCCCCATCCTGGCACTCCTAGACCCCTCACCGCTCCTGCTCCTTCTAGACACCGGCRCTCCCGCACTTTCTGCGGTGCTGAATTGGCTGCCCCTCCCGGACCCCCAGCACCCCTTTTTTTCTCGGACCCCTTCCCTTCCCCGCTCCCGGTACGTTGTATCCCCTGCGTGACTCCGGATCCCCGAGCCTTTAGAACGTCCTTTCCTTTCCCGACCCCTCTCCACCCTGCACGGCCACATCCCTTGCATCCCCGGACCTTCTTTGCCTCCTGCGTTCCCTTTCCCCTCTCCGACATCCATCCTGKCCGCATCCCTTGCCCGTTGCACAGGACCCTCTAGACTCCCTTCCCTTGTCGGGTCCCCAGCCTTCTCATCCTCTTGTCTTCCCGCATCCTTCCCCTCCCGGGCCCCCGTCCTTCCCGTATCTCCCTGCCACCCCGGACCGCTCTCCCTTCCCGGCCCCGCTGTTTCCCGGCTCTCCGTCCTCTTGGCCCCCCGGATCCCCTGCCCTTCTGCCTTTCCAGCCCGTCCCCACCCGCAGTATTCTTTCGCTCCCACTCTGCTCCTCCCGGACCCCCTGTCCTCACAACCTTTTCTCCTCCCGCTACTCCTGCCCCTCCCGGATCCCCCTGCACTCCATCCCGCCCCCGCCGGCACCTCCCGCACCCTGCCGGCTCCACGGGCGCTGCGCCCTCTCGCCCGCAGGTTTTGCCTGGCATCATTTCCCTGGCGAATTTTGGTTCCCGGCCGCCGCCTTCCCTCGGGGGAAGCCGTATCTCTCCGCCGCCCTCTCCTACCCCTGGAGGGCGGGGAGCGGGGTTTCGGGGCCGGAGGGGCGAGTCCGCCTCCCGAGAGAGCGCCCAGGCTGTGAGCTGGCAGACTCCAGGGAGCCGAAGCTGCTGCTCCGCTGGAGCCGGAGGATTTGCAGGGTCCTTCCCCTGGGACCCTTAATGTTGTCCCCGATTTCCAGCCGTACCTGCCCCATCGATTCAGGGAATGATCTCCCCTACGTGCCGTGACCCACTTTGGCTTAGACTTTGGGTGCCACGCCAAGACACARACAGATCCTTCTATAGATGATGATTCTTGAAGAATGGTGCCCCCCCCGTGCCTGTCTGGCAAGTTTTTATCCCAAGGGGCTTGGCTTTTTGCGGGTTGAAAGGCGTTTCTRTGGAAAGGCTATGGGTAGATAGGTATCCTCTTCTTCAGTATCAGCACAGCCTTTTTTCATATTACAGAAGCGACCTTTTTTCTTMGTATTTAAAAGTAAACAAAACTTCTGTGTAGTGCACATGGTTAATTTCATTTACAAACTTTCTCCACGATTCCTCCTTGTGCTGAAGTAGTATTCATTTTATTGCCTTTTCATGAATTGGATTCACTGATTGGCATCTAATCATGCTTAGAAGAAAAAGCCTCTGTAAATAGCTATCAGAATTAATTTGGCAGCAACTGTGAGAAATGATCATAAATTTACAAATACAGTTAGAATAATGATCCAGCATGAATTTAACAAGAAATACACCCCCAGCCTCTGGGAACAGCATGTAGGTTTCTGTGACAGTCAAATGCATTTGGCCACAGTGGTATTGAGCTTAGAGGCTGGGAACTGTCTGAGAAGGATGCAAAGGGGTTATGACTCCTGGGTTTGAGCTAGGAAGAGACAAAGAAGAGCTGGACTGAATGCAGGCAGGAATATTGAGAGACCTCTGTGTTCTAACTGTCTGCTCCTTGAGGTTGTGAGGTTATGAATCCAAAAGATGTGGCAACAGCTTCACTTAMCAGAAGCCCACCTCTAGTTCAGGTTCCTGGTACTTAGGGACATCAAGTGCTAAAAGGCTCCTTTTGCACTGGGATGCCAAACAACTTGGAGTGCTGGAAAAAATGTCATCTCATAACACTTCTTTTGGGGGCATGTTCAGAAGTTTTACCCCTGTCACGGGAGTCTGATGTTGAAATGCCTTAGGCACTGTGAGTGGTTTTCCACTGAAGCTGCTGGACTATCTATAGAGCTAAGTACATTCTCCAGGCATTGCAGGAGGAAGGTCTGCCTAACTAAACATAAGCAAGACCTCATCTGTTTTTTCTATTGATACTAAAGAGATCAGGATGTRCACTGGAGAAAAGCAAGGCAAGTACACAGGGAGCCCCTGAAGGTGGCTGCAGAGCATTCCTGGATGTACACAACAGCCTGTGCCATCTGAGCTGCCTACCACCACCATCACACCGACCACAAAATCTGGTGTCACTGAGAGCAATTGTAGGGTCTTCATGCAAGGATAGGACAGAAAGTCCTGTTGGAAAGAAAAACACTCTGGAAGACAAATAGTTTTTTCTAATGTCAATGTTACTGAACTTGTATTTTTCTTCTTTTTTTGTGTTTTGTTATTTAATTAGGGACCTTGACTTCATGATGGGAGGAAATATAACCCTGGCTGTTAGGATCCAAGCTTCTCCGCATGTGAGGATTTGTCAAGGCTGAGAGATTCCRGATTACCCATAAACCTCCTCTGAAATACAGTTATTTTTGTGTCTTCCCATCGTGAGAGGTCTTGGAGGAGATAAGAGATGGCTTCCAGCCTCACCTGTGCCGGCATCATCTGGGCTTTCCTCTCCTTCCTCTGTGCCGCCACCTCCTGTGTTGGTTTCTTCATGCCCTACTGGCTCTTGGGGTCTCAGCTGGAGAAGTCTGTTTCCTTTGGCACTTTCCGGAGGTGTTCCTAYCCGGTGCGGGACGAGAGCCGCCAGATGACCGTGATGGTGGAGCAGTGTGGCCGCTATGCCTCCTTCCAGGCCATCCCGAGCGCCGAGTGGAGGATCTGCACGGTGGTGACGGGCCTGGGCTGCGGGCTGCTTCTCTTGGTCGCCCTGACAGCGCTCATGGGCTGCTGCGTGTCCGAGCTCATCTCCAGGACTGTGGGCAGGGTGGCAGGAGGCATCCAGTTCCTGGGGGGTAAGTGCTTTTGCAGTGAGGGGATGGGGTTGTCCAGGCTGATAGTTTGCACGTGTGGAGACCCCCCTGTGCTTTGGGAGGAGGAGGGGGTGATTCAAACTTCCTCTTAACGAGGGAGACCTCTTGCCTCCCTCAATAACTGAGCTGGCTGTGTGGCTGCCTGAATATGGCCCAGAGACACAGTGGCCTGCACTCTCTTGCGCTCAAGTCCCTCTCTGGTCATTATGTGACTTTTGAGAGTTGTGTGGCAAGTCGACTTCTGTGGGCCAGCATCTTCACAGCAGTTTTGTGGGCTGTAGTTTCCAGCAGACCATAGCGGAGTTGGAGGTACCTAGAGGAGCATGTGGGCTACAGATCCACATTGAGCATTGTGGTTTGGCAGAGGAGATGCTTTGTTACATGGGAAAACCTCTCTTTCTCTTTTTTATCCCTGTTACTGGCAAAGCTCCCTCCAGCTCTGCTCTCTGCATCTTCATGGATCTGGCAACAARCTTGTGGCCCAGGTTGGAAGTGTGGTTTATTTATTCCTGGTGGAGGTGGCCCACCATCTCCGGAGAGGAGCTCTGCTGGGCTGGCTGAACCACACTACACCCACTGATGGTGCCACAGGTTTGCTGGCTCCGTGGGCTAGACAGTGTGTGGGACAATTACCTCCGCTCCTTTTTCTAACCAGTAATTGTGTGGYGTCTTTGTAACTGTAAGAGTGTTTCAAGGGTATGAGACAATAAATAGGATCCACAAGCGTGCTTTTTACAGGGCAGTTTTCCCAGTAAATCATCACCCTCTTTTCACCAGTGACATGCGGATCAGTGGCACTCACTTTTGCCTAATTCAAGCGCTCCACCGCTTGCATGCACTTGTCCCCGTAAGGTAATGTGTTTCTCTGAGCTTTGGGTGTTGGGTGCCAGCTTTTTGGGTRCCCTTCAGTGTCTAGTCCGAGCCAGGTGCCCTGGCTCATGCCCCAGAGGAGTGGACTGTCATGGAATCCTCACTTCTGTCCTGCCCAAACTAAAGCTTGCCCTACTAGGGCAGTCTGGATACATGATGTGCCTGCAGCCTCTAAGGAAGCACAAGATAAAAATCCACTAACTATCCAGCTTGGTGTGGACAGCTGAGGCAGGGAAAGGGCCCTGTGCCAACCCTCCAGCCAGATGATACCAGTGTAACTCCCTCCTGGCCACAGGAAGTCCTGCCTCTAACTTTTTGAGTAGTTTCTGCACTTTACAGCAAGCTGACCCCATCATTTCACCCTTCCCTCAGCTCTGTGACCCACAGGCATTCCTGTGTTTAATCTGTCTGAAAATTGAAAGTGCAGCTGCTGCTGGAGAGTTAACTCTGTTGGGATCTGTGTTTCTTGAAACCTGCTCCATTATTCAGTTCCAACAGGGCAGCCAGGKGTGGAGGTTTTCAGTTTGGTGACAATCTGCAAGCCTGCTTTGTTTGACTATTTTCACTTAGAGCCATCACAGGCTTTAACCACCCTCTCTTTCCAGCAGCTGTCTTGGCTCATCTGGTTTTAATTTGTGTTTGGCCCCCCTCTCAGGACCATGCTCCCCTGTGTGCCTGTGGAGCAGGGCTGGCAGGGRAGCTTACAGCTGTTTGCTCACAGCCACCCCAGCAAACACGGCAGCTCCAGCAGTGGGCAGATTGGCYGGGGGATGCAGGAGGAACCCCGCTCTCTCATGACACTGGTGTGGGCAGAAGGTGTCACCCTCCTCTGAGGCAGAATAGTGGCTCCTGGGCAAGGAGGTGAGAGGTCCCTTCAGAGCAAATCATGGCAAACCACTGAAGTTTGTCCAAGCTGACCAGGCGGCATCCCATCCTGCCTGGWAGGGCGTGAGCAGGTAGAGCTTGTTCTGAGCAGGTGACAATTCAAAGAAATGTGAACCTGTGATATGAAATGAAAATTGCCAAGAAGTTTGCTCGCAGTTCAGAAATTAGTTACACAGCATGTCTAATTTTCCCCTCTGYTGGCTTTTATGGTTGTCTCGCATTTCATTCAGCACTGTTGGAMGTGTGCAAGAAAAGAACTAAGTGAGAACCTGTCATTTCTTAACCTGTTTAAAACCTTACTGTTGGAGCACAAGAGGGAGGCCAGGTGGTAAAAGCCAGTAATTTGGATGACATGAAGGGACATATTAGGGTAAAGAGGAGTTTCTTATATCCCTCATCAGACCCTTAGCTGYTGTAAATCATTGTAGGTTAATTGTTTAAATGACATGGCTGCATTTATTTGGATGTCTAACTTAGGCACTATAATTATTATGTTGTTTTATGTCAAGATAGCCATGAGCTCTTCACCTTATTTACAAACAGGGAATGCCAGCTCTTTGTTCCCTGTACTGCAATTGTAGGTTTAGCTGTATACTGTGATGTGGGCTTTGAATATGGCTTGGTGGCAGTGCAGTCATTGTCATTTTAATTAGTCTCCACTTTGAGATCTAATCAAATAAAGCACTTACAGATTTTATTTTTTTTTAACTGGGAAGAAGAACTTCCGCCTAGTTTGATATGAAGGAAAAACCTAGTATGTAGCCACTGAGTGATGCTATTAATTCATTCTCTGTGTTAGGACAGCTAAATGGTTTTGCTTTCCTTTTGTCTGAGGCATCTGCACCAACACCCTGCTGTGACTTTTGCTCCAGTGGCAGAGGATGAGTGTAGGAATAAACYATATTTCTCTTGATGTTTGAAACCAGCATAAATACAGGTTCAGTGTAGCTAGTTTATGGCTTTAGTGGTGTTCCATTTGTTTAGGATCCAAGTTTCTCAACATGGTTTAAAAACATGGACTTGAGGAGGAAGTAAGCCAGTGGATAATGGATTATTATGGGAGGCCCAAAAGCAGGGGAGATGTACAAACCACTGAAGCTGTGAACCAAAACACTAAGGTTGCTAAAACTTACTCCAACACTAGAAGCATTTTTACTGCTATTAAGCAGTGGCAGAGGGGTTTGCTTACCAGAGGTGGTAAGCAAACAGCCTGATCCTTTTCTTTCAGCAGTGTGAAGGAGGAATAACTCCAAGTAGGTCAGTGGAATAACACCTGTAAAGAAGTAGTGTGGCTTGTGCTAGCTAAATGGTGCCAAGGTTTTATATCTGGGATTTCCCCAAGTTGCATGTGGCAGCTGAAGAGAGTGAATTATTCATGAATATTCTTACCATAAATCTGCTCTTCTGATAAAAATTGAAYGGCAGAACCTGCAAGAAATTGCAGATCTAGGCAAAGTCAGAAAGGCTCTTTGGATATTGCTTGATCCTATGTTCTTAGTCTTTGCTATTTCAGATGATCCTGGTTTCAGAGCATGCATGTATTTTAAGATGACTCTGGGATGAARCACGTCGAATTTCTGTTCCTGCTAGAAGGGTTGCATCATAGACTTTCCCTCCCATTTGCAATTGTGAGAACCTCTTCCTTTCCCATACATGATCATGTAGCAGCTCTGTAGCCATTACAGCAATTGCTTGCATGAAAAACAATCATTTTAGCTTATTGCAAGGTGATTTGGTGGTGGGTGACAAGAATTATCCAAACCCCCAAGACCAGCCTGGCAAACTGCTGCTATGGTCTCTCAGAACACTCTTCCTGGACATCTCTCTTGGATTGCTGTGAAGAAATGACAACTGAGGTGAAAGTTATGCTGTCTGTAACCTCTTGAGGGCACAGTCATGTAGATGGATAGAGCCTTCACTGATAACATTAAGTGCGGTGTTTCCAGCTGGTTTCCTTTGTGTGTTTGAGGCATATATAATGTAGCTAGAACAGMTTGTGAGGATGTAGCTTTGACCATAACTATTGAGGATATGACAGCAGGAAGCGAAGTTTAACAAATCTATGGCAAATTGGAGTCAGTAATTATTGATCTCCTTTTCATTGTGCCATGGCAAGTCAATTCCACTTAAATGGAGAAACTAGAATTTTGCAGGTAGGTAGCTCAGATATGACATACTAATTTGGTGAATAGTTTCACTCTCTGAATGCAGAGCAATGATTTTAAGAACATAGCAATATTTCTAAGAACATAATGAACTTAAAGGTTAGCCAGTTTTATGGGAGGCAGTGGATCAAAAGGCATAAGTACCACAAGGATGGTCAATTTAAAGAGCATTATGCTGGCAAGGTGAAGCTTTTCATTAAAATGGTCAGCACGCAGGGATGAAATCTTCACTAGCTCAGAACTCCTTTTTGCTGTGTAGAACAGCTAAACCAAGCTCAGAGTATGGATCTGAGGGAACAGAGTATGAAACAATCTGCTGGCTGAGACACCTCTCTGAACCTGACACTGTGGCCTGATTCTGAGTGTCATGTGAGATGTGAACCCTGTCCACTATTATGGGGGAGCCACGTGGCTGTCAGTAACTGGCATGTTTACTGTCATCTTTAGTATTCATTGATGCACTCTAATGAAGCACAAGTTTTGCTACTCCCTTCCTTAAATGAGCAAAGTTCTTAGCAGTGTTACTCTTCCTCTCCTTATTTCTCTGTCTTGTTTCYCTTATGTCTCATGGAAGTGCTGAAACTCCCAAAATTATAGTACTTGAATTGCTGGTTAGAAAATCTGGAGAGCTCTTGAAATGGGATGGTCAAAGGAGCATTTGATTATTTGAGAAAAAGGGGATACAATTTCTAATAAGTTCTGATTTTGTCTCAGAAAATAAAATGAGGCCTTACGACAAATGCACTCCACACTGCATGAAATTGCTGTGGAATCCTCCAAATGTTCTGAGCCAATAGAGRCCATAACATTTTCCATAACCCATAAGGTGCTCAGGGCAAGTGTTTGTTTGRTGCAAAGGGCAGAAAAATAAGGAATATCCTTCAAGATGTGTACAATGTTGAGTTGATGTTTTGGTTCTGTGCTGTCTGTGATGAAATCTCAGGGAAAGCTTTTGCAATTTTGGGCTAAAGATTTTAAGGAGACAAATCCAAATGAAATCTGCAAGCTGTTTGGATATTAATGGCCAAATATGACTTTGCAGGTGAGATGATACTAAAATGT